GAGCACTGTGCTATTAATTTGAAGAAAATTACCTCAGTGAGTTTAAAATCCAAGTAACCCATTACAGAACCAGTGATATAGGTCTCATTTCCATGGTAGGAATTTATTAAAGATATTATGTATCTATATTTGCTTTGTTAACACAGTTAATTGAGTTTAATTCTATTGATGCATTAGCACCTAATTTCACTTAGAGAACATTGTTTTTTCCTGAAAAATTTTCAGGAAAAATTCAGGAAAGAATTTCAAATAGGATGGTCCTTCCACTTCACTTCTCATAGATAAGATGAAAGAAGCTTCATAATGCTTGCCAACTGCTATGTAGGAAAGAGTCTGAAAAACATTTTAGTGGGTTTAGTGTTAATATAGCTAACGTTGCTAGATTTTTTCAATTTAAACAAGTTATGTGATGTTATTTTTTTCTTATATTTTTAAGGTGAGATGTTCCAGTTTGAACTTAGATGATCATGCAAAGAAGAAATTAATTAAACTTGTGGGAGAACGATACTGCAAGACCACTGATGTACTCACCATCAAAACAGATAGGTAAAGTGGAAATGGGAACAGACTATACATAAGCTTCTTTTTTTTTTTTTTGGTGGAACCAGGGATTGAACTCAGGCCCTTGTGCTGCTTGCCACGTAAGCGCTTATTCTACTGAGCCATCTCCCTAGCCCCTACACATGCTTCTTTATTGCCTTCTTGGCAGTCTTTTTTAGAGAAATTATATTGGCAATAAAAATAGTCTTTTATTATGTCAACTTATTTGGAGAAGTTTTCTAATACATGACCTTTTTCTTTTTCTTTGGTGGAACTGGGGATTGAACTCAGGCCCTTGCGCTTGCCAGGCAAGCACTTACTCTACTGAGCTATCTCCCCGTCCCCCTCCCCTTTTTACTGTGCTATTTATTTATGCAAGAAGGTTTCTGTGTTATTGTTTTGGTTTGCTTTGTTTTTGGGGTTTGTGTTTTGGGATGTTTTTTTGTTGGTGGTTTTTTTGGGAGAGTTGTTTGTTTGAGACTATCTCCACATGTCATCCAGAATGCCTTGAATTCTGTATGTAACCCAGGCAGGCCTCAAATTCATGATTCTCCTACTTAGCCTCCCACATCCTGGGATTACAGGTCTACACCACCATGTCCAGATTTTTATTGTTAATCTTGATTTTCTTTCCTTTTTAAATTTTTTATTTCATTGAGATTCTTTTTTTTTGGGGGGGGGGCTTCTTTCCCTTTTTAATGTGTTTTTATTTTACTTTCCTTCCTTTTTTTTTGTTGTAATATGTTTGGTACAGGATCTCACTACACAGCTCAGACTCATAGTGATCCTCTTTTCAGCCTCCCCAGTGCTGGGATTACAGGTGTGCACCACCATGCACAGTCTCAGTGGCCGTCTCAGGGTGGTGTGGCATGTGGTGCTGGAGAATGAACCCCAGTCCCTGCCCTTAACCCTGGTCTTTGCACTTGTCTAAGCAGGTGCTTAGGGTCTACTGAGTTATCTCCCCCACCCTTAATCTTGATTTTCATATATCCATGTGTGAAACATTTGGAAAATGTTAGAAAATAAAAATGTACTTTGCTAGTGATTAATGTTTAGGTGAGGTTTTTGTTTGCTTAATTGGCTTTGTGAATCTAAAATCAGGCAATATCTCATTCCATAAAAATAGAATAAGTTTTCTTTTAAATAGATTTTTGTATGAACATGTAAATCATGTAGTTCAAAATTAAAATTATTAAATTATGTATGTGGAACTTTATCAAGGTACTTTTGTAAATAAACAAAATTTAGAGCTAAGATAGACATTTCCCAAAATAGCATCAACTGTTGTATATGATCTTATAAATCAGATGATTTTCATTTGTTTTTTTTTTAATTTTTTCATTTTAAATAAGTTTATTTAAACAAGACACTGGACTTAAAGGGAAAACTATCTAGGATTCTTCTTTTTTAAAGAGTGACTTACTCCTACTTAAAGACAGATTGCCCTACATGTAACAGCTATGTACAAAAAAGTTATAAAATTGTCCTTGGTTTTACAATGATAAATGAAAAACATTAAAATTCTCCAATTAAACAGGGTATACAAGGAATTTTATGTTGCTGTCTTTTCTGTTAAAACAATGAGAGCAAAATAACTTCCTGGAATATAAAGATAAGACCTATTGAGCATGCCACTAATGGAGAAAGGGGATTATTTTCACAGAACCAGTAATTCCCCATCTTATCTCCATTTGATGTCAGTCTAAACTTACTGTTGGCCATTTAGTAAAAAAAAAAAAAAAGCAGTATGCTTGTGCATATATACCAGATACTTTATGTATGATAAGGAATGGGGAAGGGGTAAATGAAAGAATGAAGAAAACTATACTATAGTAGTCAGGATGTGATGGAACCAAATTGCAGTTTTCTAATTGAGAATGTATTCCTGGTCTGTAAGAACAGAGTTCTGGAGTAGTTGCAGGTTCCCTTTTTAGTAAACACTTCCTATCTGCTGCTGGAACACATCAATTGTATCTTCATCCTCCATTTCCAACTGTGCAGGTGTGTCTGTTTCACTGATTGGCTGTCCATCAAATCAGAATCTGATCTGCCTCATTGACAAACCCTGTTGTTCACAACAGGCTTTCATTAGTTTACTAAGTGGTGTATGCCTCTTAATCTTTTTTTTTTCTTTTCAAAGTTTTATTGATAAACAGATAGCAATGAGATAGTTTCAAATCAAATGGGAAGTACAGTTTCAACAAATAATACACTTCATATATTCTTCTTAGTGGTTAATTGCTGTACAAGATGCAGACTTGTGATCCTATTTACAAACACAATTAGAAAAAATCGTTCTATTCATTAAGAGAATGCAACTATATATCTATCCCAACCACTTTGAATACACAGATACAAAATGGACATTCATAGTTATACCCCATTTTTTTAAAGTTCCATTATTGAATATTATAGGTGTGTAAACTCGGCAAAATATTCTAAAAGAGTCCAGTAGCCCATAATAGCATTGGGTCTTCTGTTTAACTGGCAATGTCAGAAATTATTGACCTGAGTCCCCCACAGCTCAACATAACAACATGGTTTTACTTCCTATATTTCGTCTTCATACTTTTCTACTGGATGGTTAAGACCAAGGTAAAGCAGGACCTGTTCAACAAGAGTTGTAGCTTTTTGGTCTGAGAAAGTCAGTGAAATCCTCTCAGGATTTATCCTGAGATCCTGTACCTCAGATTGTAGAACCTTTGTCAGTGCAGCCATGTGGATGAGTCACGGCCAATGCTTGGCCAGTGTGCTCTCTGTGAAAGCCTGAGAGAGTGTCTTCTCCCCATGTGACTCTCCTTAGGCACATTCTACGTCATCGATCACTTTCCTCTTTGGCCCCATAATCTTCTTGATCAGAAAATTTGGGACACTACCGAGGTACATGACGTTACAGTACAAGTTCTCATATGTCCTGAGACTTAATTGACCTTAGAAGGCTAGGGCCAGAATGTTGGCTTTCCTTGTAGCCCTCCTTTTTCTCTAATTTTGGTCTGCAAACATAGGTTGTTAACCATCCAGAAGACAAGCTTATTGTTATTATCAAACGATTTAAGCTATCAAGCTTTTTTTTTTTTCAACAAATAATACACTACATATATTCTTCCTAGTGGTTAATTGCTGCACAAGATGCAGACTTGTGATCCTATTTACAAACACCATTAGAACAAATCATTCTATTCATTAAGAGAATGCAACTATATATCTATCCCAACCACTTTGAATACACAGACACAAAATGGACATTCATAGTTATACCCCATTTTTTTTTAAGTTCCATTATTGAATATTATAGGTGTGTAAACTCAGCAAAATATTCTAAAAGAGTCCAGTAGCCCATAATATGCCTCTTAATCTTAAACTGCACCACAGAACCGTCCTGCCCTGCTACCTTCAAATTAATGTGATCATTGTTCTGTCTTGACTCCTTCCTTTGGCTTTTCGTCGGCCATAGCAAGTCTTCTTAGCTGCTGCCTCACAAAAGAGAGGTACCAGATCTGCCTTCATTTGCTTTAAAGAATGGTTCCATGCCAGGCATGGTGGGGCAGGCCTGAAATCCCAGCACCCAGGAGGCTGAGGGAGGATGATATCACCATGTAGTTTAGGCTGAAGTCATCGTTCTGTAGCCCAGGCTAGCCTCAAAGTTATGACAGTCCTCCAACCTCAATCTCCTGATTGCTGGACCTGCAGGCATACAACACCACATCCAGCACAAGTGAACTACAAAATAAATGATATAGTTAAAGTCATTTTTTATATAATTGGTTTAATATTTTAAAAAGTTAGAAACAGTTGCTTTCATCTATTATTTTACTAAGCTTAATGTACCACCTCATATGTATGTACATGTTTTACCTAATCTTAGGATATTCTATTTTAAATATTGTAGCAACCACACATCAGTCTGTATAGAAGAATCTATTCTGGGGGAACAAAGATTATCCTTTAGATTCCCAGGCCTTTTTAGTTTTTATTTTCATACAGTGTCTTGGTAAGTTGCTCAGGCAGGACTTGAATTTGTGATTTTCCTACTTCTTTCAGTTCCAGGATTACAAGTATGGGCAGGCACCTGCTTTGTCTATTTGGGGGTTTTGCCCTTTTTTTCCTTTTTTTGAAACCCCTGTGGAGACTGTCTCTCTGTATTTTCCAGGCTTGCCTCTCAACTCCTGGACTCATGAAGTTTTCCTCTCTCAGCTTTCCAAGTAGCTAGAACTACAAATACACAGCACCATGCCCCCCTGTGTCTATTTTTCTGTTTCATTCCCCAGACCATTTTTTAAATGAAGTCATTAGATACGCATGTGCCTGTTTTTAGCTCAGAATTGGTAAAGGATCTTGGACTGAATAGTCATGTTAAAAGTACCATCAGGCCATTATCATATACAAATAACTCTGTTAGTGATGATGAAAAATACAAAACACTAGTATTCAATACTTTTAAGTATGTAAATATGTAAAACTTTTTTAGTATACGAATTTCCGAGGGGGCCAGGGAGATAGCTCAGTAGCACAAGGGCCTAGGTTCAATCCCTGATTCCAAAAAATAAAGAATTTTTCCAAAAGAAAAGAGAATATGATATGTGATATGTTTTGCAAACTCTTTATACTGAATTTCTAGAATTATAACTTCATTCCTCTTTCTCTTCTAAAGATGCCCTTTAAAGAGACAGAACTATGATTATGCAATGTATCTACTGACAGTGTTATATCATGAATCTTGGGTAAGTGTGTGAATGTTTAATGAATTATGATTAGTGTGATTTAGATGATAACCTTCCAAAAAATTCTCACAAGTATTCATTGAGTATTTTATGGATCACCAAATAATCTAACATGTTTGAAATGTCATAGTTTCTACTGTTGTCTTGAAACAAATTATTCACACCATCATAGAACCATGCTGAAATATGCCTAAAATACCTTCAGACTCAGTTTTTGACTTCCACTAGAAAATATGGGGTGTTTTACTTTCTTTCCTGCAGTACTGGGGATTAAACCCAGGGCCTCAGTTATGCTAGGAAACATTCTACTACTGAGCTGCATTCCTAGCCCTTTTTGTTTTATTTTGAGACAGAGTCTTGCTAAGTTACCCAAACTAGCTTCAAACTCATGATCCTTCTGCTTCAGTCTTACAAGTAGTTGGGGTTTTATGTATGTGCCCCCACACTTGGGTAAATTTATTTCTTTTTATTTTATTTAAGTTAAAGTTCTCAATTATGGAAGAGTAATCATCTGGATAAGTTGATAATTTATGATTTATCCTGTTTGCAAAACTTTGTGTAAAGGTTTTTTTTTTTTTTTTCCTCTCTATGTAAAGGTATTTTAAATGCCTCTTAATATCTATACTTAACCTGGTCATTTTGAGCCAGAATATCTCAGTGATTTAGTGAGATGCTATCTTTAAATGTTTAAAAAATGCGTAAAGGATCCCAACATGGCTGATAAAGAGAAAGAGGTGCATGAGAGAAACTCCCAAGGAGAGATACCAGCTAATACAACTATTCTGAAGTTGGGAGGCAGTCACACCCACATAGGGAAAATCAACCTGAAAGACTCCTCTTGATACAAACAAATGTATGTGGGTTATTGAAAAAGCAGGGCCACCACTAGTCTGCACTCCCCACCACAACCCCCACATCCATCAAGCACATGAGGTTCTGCTAGCCCAAGGGAAGGGACAGGGAGTGCTGCAGAGGCTTGCTCCTGCTCCAAGGATAGGCTCCCAATGAAATCTCCCTCCACCCAGAAGAGTAAGCCCAGGGTGGGAGTGAACTGCTGTTGGGGCTCCTGGAAAACTGCAATCAGAGAAAAGGAAAGACAGCAATATAAAACAGAAAATCTGTCTCCTGTCATCCTCCCAAGCACTAGGGAACAGTGTGTCCCCACACCATCCTACCTACTACCCACTGTCAAAGAGGGAAAACCCTAGCTGTAGTCAGAGAGAGTCTATCACTGTAAACTATAGGTAGCACCAAGTCTGGAGGCAGGTACTACAGATAACATTCCTGGAGATACTAGAAGGTGGAGAGAATCAGTGGCCAGTCCAGAGCAGGTACTTTCTGGATATTTCGCCAAATTCCAGTAGGATCCATAGCAATAGAAATCCTCTCTATCACCCAGCACCCTGCCCAGTTAAAGGAGCCCCTGCCAAGGCTAAGACTGCACCGAGTTCTGTGGGTTGGAGAGTAGTGCTTATAAATCAGGGATAGATAAAGAGCTAAACTTGAAGATCAGAGGGAGTTGCCCAAGACAGAGGGTTTCTGACATAATTGTGCAGAAAGCCCCTACGGGGATTGACCCAGCAACAAAGGTACCAGGAATTCTTGTTCTTCCCAAATAAATTGGTCAGGTCTTGGGACAGAGACAAAGGTCTGTTGTTGGCTATCCCAAGTCATAGCTTGCAATCAGGAGGGTGGGTCCAGAGAGTCTGACAGTCCTTGTGACCCAGTGGGGCAGTAAAGTAGCCCATAGGTGGAGGAAAACCAACTTGGTAGCCTGAAAGCGTACTGTGACTACAGTCAAATGGAAACTGTGTGCATGGACTTTGGTATAGAGGTGGAGAGCTTTTTCCCTGCTCGTTTGTCCTGGGTTTGCTCTTTAGATTTGTTTTTCAGGGCTGGTGAGATAGCTTAGCTTGCTTAGGCAAGCTTAAGCAGATGTAGGGGACCATGGTTTGATCCCCAGCACCACATGCTATGACAGCCCTGCCCTCAGGGTAAGCTGAGCCTGTTCCCTCTCCCCCCTCCCCTGCCCCTTGCACAAAAAAAGGGTAAAGATTTATTTTCTTTTTCTTTGGTTCTTCTTCATCAGTATTATTTTTTTATTTTGTTGTTTTTGTTTTATTTTTTTTTTCATTCTGTTCTCCCTTGATCTTTAGTTTTTCTCTTTTAACCTTCTTTCCTCCCTGTGTTTTCTTTGTTCTTCCTCATGTTGTGTTTTTCCTTGTCTTCCCACATGTCTTCTCCACCTTTCATAGGATATATATTTAGCATCCCTGTATATGTATAAAAGAAATAGTAAATCAGTGCTTTAACTTGAATGGAACTGTTAACAGGTAACCATTAATAGAATTGTGGCTAGAAGATCCATCCAAAACAAACAGTACAAATATTTTTATGATACTGTTATTGTCTGTGTCTAAATGTCCCCCCCAAAGCCTCATGCAGTCATGGAGTAGGCTTCTGGAGTTTTTCATTAATTCATGATCCAACGCTAGGATGATTGGTGTGAGTGCTATACCCTCCCTAGGATGGGTAACCTGCATATAGCGTAAGGGAAGGAAAGAGCCTTGCTCTTTCTGCTCGTACCTTTTTCTCTTGTTGCTTTTCCTGTCTTCTGCCACCATGAACTGTTGCCCTCTGCCATGTGCTACTCTGCCTTGGAGCAAGCTGAGTATAGACCGAAACCTCCACAAAGTATGAGCTAAATGAACCTTTCTTTCCTTATTTCTTGGCATCAGGTATTTTGTCTCAGCAGAGAGGAAAGTAACTAAGATACTGACAACTTGACAGTTTCCCTCAATCTCTAATTACATTTCTCTCCCCCTGCAATATTTTTCCCACCTTCAAAATTATTCTCTTGGTCTGGTGAGATGGCTCAGTGGTCTAAAGCACCTACTTAGAACAAGCTTAGCAAAGCACAGGGACCATGGTTCAATCCCCCAGCACCACATGCCAGCCAGCCCCGCCCCCTGGTGGGCTGAGCTGGCCACACACACACACACACACACACACACACACATAAATAAATTAAATAAAAAAAATTATTCTCTTAAAGCCCCTCAACACTAACACTTTACTCTAGCTATTAAAATAACTCCAAGTTCGACATGCTGTTTTTTACTTACTAGCATTTTATCTTACCTTTCTCTCACACACTACCTTCCTTTTCCCTTTCCTCTTTTCTTCCCTTTCCCCCCATCTCCTAGACTGACTACTAATAGCACTGTCGTTTGTAAGGAGCTCGAAAGTATGATTAATGGTTAGATAGTAGACACTTATATCTGGTAGAAATTCTCTCCCTACAAGAGACTGACTGGGTCTGATCTAATTAACCTGAGTAGACAAGATCACATCACAGGAAAATGGTAAGAAACTGAGTTCACCAACACTGAAGTGTCTTCCCTCTTGTCGACTTCAGTTCTTAGCACAAAAGTAAAGGAACATGACAAAACAGTGCAACATAAGCAGATGCTTAGGCAGATGCAGGGTGGGGGGTTCGATCCCCAGCCTGCCATGTTGGCCCCATCCCTGGGGCCTGCTGAGGTGGCGATTGAGACTGGTGGCCCATGTCTGTAATGCCAGCACTTGAGAGGCTGAAAACAGGAGGATCACTAAAAGTCCAAGCTGTGTAGTGAGACCTTGTAGACCCTGTACTAAACACATTAAAAAAAAAAATGTAACTCATACAATTGCTTCAGTGTTGGATATAATTTTAGAATCAGAAATTTTAATTGTAAACTATAAGGGCATAACATTGTAAATAAAGTTTAACCATAGTATTATTTTAAAAATGAATTTGGAAAGATACAACAGGTGTCACCAGCACTGATCATTCTATTTTGGGGTATTAGAATTATACAAGACGTGATAAGAAATGTGGTAAATGTTTACATTTTAAAATTGTAGTATTGGGGCCGGGTAGATGGCTCTGTGGAATAAGCGCTTCTCTGGCAAGGGCAAGAGCCTGAGTTCAGTCCCCGGTTCTGCAAAAAAAGAAAAAGATAAAATTGTAGTACAGTAAAAAACACATTGCCTTTGGTCACCCTCCAAATGCCTGCCACCTTTGGAATACTCTTACCCCATTTCTTCCTGTCTGAAGAGTGTCGTGGTTGGCTCAGTTTTATGGATTGATTCCACACACGGAAGATGAGGATGCAGCATGATGTTGGCATGAGCTGCTGTTCCGTTGGCTGGCATTCCTCATCTTTGTGTGTATACATCATAAAGATAGACATAAAAGAGTCCTTCATACCTGCTTCAGAAAGTGGCAGGAATGATAGGGTAGTTTTATTGGAAGCAAGAAAAATTAAGGCCAGGTGTCTTTTACTAAAAATTTTATTGCAAAAATATTTTTGACCACCTTTTTTTTTTTCCCCATAATAACCACCCTTTTATAGGTCAGTTTTTCCTCTGTTTTAGTAATATCTGTGTTTTCTATTAGAATGTTTATAAAATTGTAGCATTTGAGTAGTATGTCAAAATTCACTTCTGGATTATTATTATTTTAGGTTTTTTCTTTCTCTCCCCCCCCCCCATTTGTTTTCTTTTGTCTTTTTGAGACAGCGTCTCACTATGTAGTTCAGGCTAGCGTTGAGCTCATTTTTTAGCCCAGGATGGTCTCAAACTCACAATAATCCTCATGCTAGGATTGCCACCATGCCCAGCTTTTTGTTTGTTTGATTGGTTTGGGGTTTTTTTGGAGTGTATTTGTGACAAGGTCACACAAAAGCCTAAACTGACTGGCTTTAAACTAGCAGTCTGTCTGCCTCAGCTCTCAAGTGCTGGGATTATGGTCATGTGGTACTATACCTAGATTCCTTTCATCTCAACTCCCCGTGTGCGAGTTCCTTGATGTAACAATGAACATTTTACTGAAATACATTGAAATGAATGAAAAATGTTTAGAAAGAAAATTATGACAGAACAGACTGCTTTAAGCCACATAACTTAAAAATGTTATTTCAAAATTATTTTTAAGTGTATCTTAGAAAGGTACTTCT